CGTTAGAGTTTTCAAAGAAAACACATCAAAATGCAAAGATAATAACTACACATGTCTACAACACTGTTAGACACTCATTTATACTAGTTATCAGCTAAAATAAGTTGATTTTGATGTGACTTGCTCTTAAATTTGTTATAAATTTGGCATTTATAACAATCTGCAATGTGAAAATCAGTTCAACTCATTTTCTTCTCGTCCCACAATCATCAAAGACAATATTAGTCATTTTACAAAACCTTCTGACAATTTTTCAGCATGTCTGATTATTTCAACACAATATACAAACATGCTGACAATATTTTTCAAATTAACAAATTAAGAAAAGATAAATAAGTCTATCTGTTTTTGAAAGATTTTTTATATTTAAAAATGCAAATGTTTTTTTAGTAAAGACAAGGAGCTTTCACCAGATGACAATCTAAACCAGTTACATACAAATGTCCATTTTTTTCTCAAGCCAATTGACTGCACCTCCAGATACATTGTTCTAACTACTGTCATAGATCCCCACAGCATTTTAGTCGCGCCCACGCAGGAGAAAGAGTCGTAAATGGTTTTATACAATTAGTGCAGCCTGTAATGTGTCATCCTGTGTGCAAAGGATCTTTGGCTGAACTAAGTAAATCCTGTTTGCTTTGATAACACTATGTGAGCATTGTCATTGTGTGCATGTTAGCATTAAATTTAGCCCAGCACAGCTTTTAACAAGCTCCACTCTAAATTGAAATTGCCATTGCAGCCAGAGTTCATGATTAACAATGATTTATTGCGCAGACATAAAGGAAAATTGACAGCATGGCAGTGTGTGGTCTGCTGCAAGCTGTTTCTGCTCGCCGATGTTATCACTAGACTGAACACCGGCGAGCAGGGCACCCATCAGCACTAGAGTCCTGAAGAGAAGCCCATCTATTCACACACACAAGCATTGCATCAGCATGCTTGCCAATTATTTGCAACACACACAAACACAAATCTTTTTAGACCCTCCTCAACTCCTTTAATTGTGAAATTTCATTAAATTGAATGAAAGATCATAGCAGCAGTCATGGGGAGCCAATTAACGTTGGGCAGATAAGCTTTGTAGAAATATTACAGGACATTATACTAATGATATCTGAATTTACAGGGGGCAGAAAGCCTCTTTTGAGTCAGTGATTAGGAAGCTTCAACGTATGCCTCCCACACACACTTTAAGCATGAGGAGCATAACACATGGTACAAGGGATTTAGATGTGTCCACCCACTCAGTGCATCTCATAAAATGATCATTAAACAAACCAAAGTGCATGGATTCTCCTGCTAACTCAGAGCAAATGACGTTTGTGAAGACTGGAGATTAAACAGTAAAGTTAAAAATTACAGCAGTTTTTCTAGTTTATCTCTTTTTTTTTATTTCCAAACTAAGAAAAACACCCAAACTTTGCCAAATTACATTAAAAAGGAGGAAAAAATATGCCTCTTTTCATCAGTGTCCCCGATGGGAAATCTCAGAAGTGCACTAAAGTGAGCTCAAACCGCAGCTGCATGATAGCCTTGATAAAAATACCACCAAGCCAGGGATTTCTACTTTTCTTTTTATGTTGTCATTTCAGTAAATAACTGAGCAAACCTCTGACGCACCAGCAGTGTTACATTTATCCATCCAGTACAAGCACCTCCAAAACACACTTATTTAAATCTTAACAGCCATGTGCTCCTGATACAAGTATAAGTGATGAGCTGTCAAAGGTAAGAAACAGAATTGAAGATTAAAGGTTTGCTATGACACATCCTGGACTTCATTTCAAATATTCCAGTCCAGGGAAACTGCATAGATCAGAGTCGAGTTGGAATGCAAATATCCTGCTTGAGCAGGCATCGTCCAGCTTGCGGGTTTGTTTCAGTTTGGTCTGAATGATGGAGATGCTGACACCTCATCAACAGGATGACATCTGAGGAGGGGGTTTTATTTAGTTTGTAGAGTCACACTATTTAAACATCTCCTGTTTCTCAGGTCTAGCTTGCTCACAGTTGTGAGAATGCAGTTGAGCGCGCGCCAACACCACAGGGGTATAGGTGAGGATCACAATAATGAATCTTTCTGAAGACAATTACAGATAAAAATCTTTTCATTCAGAAAAAAAGAGAGACTAAGAGAGAAATTTTGGTGATAAAAAATTAAATCCTACAAAACGAATTGCATCCCTGTGGTGGCACATGCACTGTGAGGTAGGAACTCAAAGATGTAGGCTGGAGGTGATCCTTGTTTGGTCCCTTTTTTATCTGGCCTCTTAAGGAATGGGTGACAAGGAGGAGTAATTGGACTCTCCTCTGAGGCACCCCAGTGTGCTGCTTTAGTGGAACATACCTGGCAGCTTCAGGTGAGGAAAAGTAAATTTTCTTTCATAAAATAGTCAATTGCTGTTTTTAAGAATGTCAATATAATTTACCACAGGGATTTTATACGTTAAGTCCAGGGGAAAAAACAGATTTCCCTCTCTAATGAAGTTCTGCTTGTGCTCTGCAGATATTTTTCACCAGGATCCAATCCTCTCATTTCCTGATCTCTGATATCAATTGTCATCACTTTTCACCATGAGAGGCAGCATCCTGCAGGTTCATGACACACAATGCTCAATTAGGTTCAGACTGCGTGCGGATACAGAGAGGGTCTTGGCATAAGGCGAGCATCATTATCATATTCTTCAAGCCAATGAGTCACGCACTCACGGACAAGTGCTATCAGAAGAGCACCAAGAAAGGAGTAGCAACCATGGTGTGCACGCACTGAGGATGTATAGGACACAGAGTCTGATGATTAGATGTGCAACGTCAGAGAAGGAATCCATGTAGGGGATCGGAGTGTGTTCCTTCTAATTAGACATCAGATCTATGTCTTATTATTATTATAATTATTAGTCTGCAGCATTTTCAAATATTATAAAGATTTGTGACAAAGAAGCAAACATATTTATCCCAATGAACACAAAAAATGTGATCCAATTTCTCCTCTAAATTAAGATTTCTGCTCTCTTAAAAAAGGTAAAAAAAAATAAAAATAAAAGTTAGGTCACTCTAGGGGGGAAAACTGGCATTAACTGAGAGGATCAAATTTCTAAATGGCTTTTAATGTCAACCCTGCTCCCAAAAGGCAGAGCAGATTCATTAAGCAGCCCACCAGCTGCCCTCACATCTCTACTGTAAAAGCAGGCACCAAACAGCCACAGCAGATGCTGTTCACCCCCTTGTAACACTAATTGTCTGGTGCAATGTCACCAACACACACACACACACACACACACACACACACACACACACACACACAAAAATCAAATTTACATAATCAGCCTGCAAAGACAGGTTCTGTAAAAATTAGTAGGTTTTGTGTTACTTTGCAGCTGAAGTTGAGATAAAGGTCTCTCACTGGAACTTTTTCTAATAAAATAATTATGGACTTTGAGATGAATCCTACTGGAATAACTCAACAAGCCAAGGGGTAATAAAGCCCCAGTGATCCCGTGGCATCAGATAATCTCTGTCATGCTGAAATATTCATGAGAGAAATGTTATTTAGGACTAAATAAGCGCTGTGGGTGTGTTAAGCAGGTGGAGAGCAACTTCATTATATGACAGAAATAATATGAAGGGTGATCACTGACGGGCCGTATGTAAATCAGATGTCATGCTGCACAATTACAGGAATGACTGAAGTCACAACAACTCAAAGGATGCAACTGTCCTGCAGTTAAGTTTCTCAGGTGAGATGATGTCCCACTAAAAATAAATCGAACTTATTTTGGATTTCTTTCAAGGCAAACAAGAAGACAAATTAAATTTGCGCTTACCTCCCCAAAGTATTGCCACCGACTGAAGTATCAGGATGTGCAACATGTTTCTTTAAACCTTCAGGAAACAAAAAAAAAATAATAATAAAAAATAAAAATAAAAAATACAAAAAAATCCCTTCAAAACTGATCTGCAGGTGGAAAATTCTTAGTTTGTGGAGCAAATTCCCACATCCAGCGTCGTTTATACAAAATTATTTTGGACGCCTCATCCAGGAAGTTGGGCTGGCTTTGACGCAGATTCACAAATGTCTAATTTCGTATTTAAATCTGTCAGAAACGAAAAGCTTAGAGAATTGCATCAGTCTCTCTTGCATCTGCACTGCTAAACAATGAAACATCTGCAGAGGTGCATTTTCACCATTATTTTCAGGGAGTGTAGAAGCAGTTTTACCCCCCTAAAAACAACAAAAACAGCAAATGTTGCGTGGCAGATTCCCGAAGTTGTCTTTGGCGAAGAGGCTTGAAGTCCAACACTTTGGAACGAATCGAAGTATCTCCCGTCCGGTATCATGTATGGTGGAATATGTAAAGACAGAAAAGTTCAAGTTGCATTAACAAGCAGGGTAGATGTGCTGCGTTCCAGCCTGGCGCCCCGGGAAGTCTCCAGCAGCTCTGCAGCAGTCCGTCACAGCGGCCGCGCTCCTCTTCTGCCACTTCTTAATAGACCTTGGCACCAAGTGGTGCAGATGTTTCCCCAAAGTCCGGTTCCAAACCTCCGTGCCTAGGTTTGTGTGGACGGACGGACTACAGGCTGCACTGTCTGGAGCTTACGCATGTCAGTCCGTCCAATGCGCGTCGAGAGACTCAGCGGGGAGGAAAGCGGTGACAGCAGCTGCGAGTGGCGCACCTCGGGGGGCGTCTTCTGCTCCCAAACACCATCTATGTGATGGAGGAAAACACTTTTTTGTTTATTTGTTATCGGGGCGCAAAAAATCAACCCTTCATTCTAAGCATGGTTGTCTGAAAATGTAATTTTCTTTGAAAAACTACTTTTCCAAATATCACGTTCATCAAAAGGAAAAAAAAACTTAAAAACTTGTTCTCGAACATAACCAACAGCATCAGTGCGCCGCTTGGCAGGCTCTAGCGCTCCCGTGTGGTCAATGACATTTGCTTTGTTTTGGTGAATTCGTGACAACATTTAGTTGTGAAAAAAATAATAATTAAATAAATAAATTAAAGCTAATTATAAAAGAATAGATACACATTTAACAAATATCAGTCATACGAATAATTCATTAACATTTTTGTGAATTTTAGTGATTTTTGCAAACATTATTCAGTGGTAAAATTCTGAGTAGTTCATTCAAACGTTGCAAGTGAACTTCCAAACGTAAGCATCACTAAAATAACTCACAGTTATAAAATTTTGTAGTTGTCTACATTATTTCTGTTTCTGTTTATACATGGACATGGCTTTTCATAAAGGCAGTATTGGTCCATTTCTCTACACCACTACCAGAAAAGACCAGACTCCAGCAAGAGGAAAATGGAGGGACACCTGCTGGACAGATGTCCCCATATATTTGAAGGTTTCCATCATCATCTTCACCCCCCCCCCCCCCCCCCACCACCACCACCACCAAAAAAAAATTGCTGTAGTGTCTCTCAACGGCTACAAATTCATTGGCCTGATGTCTATGATCATGAAGTGCCTGGAGCGAACAGTCTCTGAGCATCACATATCTCCTCCCTCCTTCCATTGTCCCACCAGTTTGCATACAGCGAAAATGGGTTCACAGAGGAAGCCATTGCCCTCACACTCCACACAACACTGAGCCACCAGGGGAACAAGAAGAGCTACATGAGGATGCTCTTTGTAGACTACATCTCAGCTTTCAACAACATCCTCACTAACAAACTACAGGAACTACAGATCGTCGCTCTCACCATTGCCTGGATCAAAAGCTTCCTGACAGGCTTCCCACAGCATGTGAGGCTTACCCTCAGCTCAGGTTCTCCTCAAGGATGTGATCTGAGCCCCTTAATAAATTCCCTGTATAACTATGACTGCTCTCCAATCCACCCAACCAACTCATTCATCCATTTTCTTACACTTATCTGAGGTTGGGTTGGGGGGCACTGCCTAAGCAGAGGCCCATACTTCCTATCTATCTTAGAGATAGAGCTCAGTCATCTGGGAAGAGCTTGAAGTAGATCAGCTGCTCCTCCACATCGAGAGAGGCCAGTTGAGGTGGCTCGGACATCTGGTCAGGATAACTCCTGGATGCCTTCCTGGTCAGGTTTTCCAGATCCAGGACACGCTGGAGGGACTATGTTTCTTAGCTGGCCAGGGAACACCTTGCGATTCTCCTAAAGAAGCTGGCCCGAGTGGCTGGGGAGAGGAAAGTCTGACCCCGGATAAGCGGACGATAATGGATGGATGGATGGATGGATGGATGGATGGATGGATGGATGGCAATTAAAAAAAATCATCTGTTAAAATTTTAAGTATGAATAATTATTTTTTCTTTTACTTGCTGAGTTGTTCCGTTCAGACTTATTTCTTATTTTGATCTTTCCAAAGTTCGTCAGCAGAAACTAGTATTTTTGAATGAAATATTAGTATTTAAAAAATATATATCAATTAATATTAAAGGGTGAATGTGTGTTATCTTTGAGCCTGCTCCGTCCTGACCCTAATGAGGATGAAGTGGTAAAGATGATAGATGGAGGGATGGAAAGCAGCCATTAGTGTAAATAAAAGTGAAGGAATGTGGCCATGTGAGGCCCCCATGCTGCCAAAAAATGAGTCCAGTTTCACCTTCTCTAGCCAAAACACGAAAAAAGGAAACCCCTCCATTAATAATGGGTTCACATTCAGCATTCATTCAGAAGAATGTGGGGATGAATGGAACCAATGGCAAAATAAAAGCCAACACCGACAGGTTACTTTGTTGGTGTGCAATGAATGAAAAACCCTGTTGATGAAGTCTGGGTCAATTAAAGTGATGCTCTTGGATTTCAGATTGTCTTCTTTAGATATTTAGTTTTGTGTTTTATTTTGGTTGTTTAGCACTTTGAAATAGTAAAATGTAAAGTGTATCACAAATATAATGTATTATTTTTATGATTGAAATTTGAAATTAAAATGAATGCAAGATTAAAAAAACTGGACTAGTTATATTCTAATTGGATAACAACTATAATCCATCCATCCATTGTCTGAACCTGCTTGTCCATGCAGGGTTGTAGGGGGTCTCCAGCAGTCAACGGGTACACCCATGACAAATTGCCAGTCCATCGCAAGGCAACACAAAGACACAGAGGACAAATAACTAAGCACACACACACACCTAAGGACAATTTAGACAGACCAATCAACCTGACAGTCACGTTTTTAGACTGTTGGAGGAAGCCGGAGTACCCGGAGAGAACCGTGTGCACAGGGAGAACATGCAGACTCCTTGCAGAAAGATCCCAGGCCAGGATGTGAACCCAGGACCTTCTTGCTGCAAGGCAACAGCTCTAACCACTGTGTCACTGTGCAGCCCACAACAACTATATATCAATATGTAATTTTATGACAATATAACAGTCCTAACGAAATAATATTGTCCCCCGTTTGATATCTTGCATTAACATAACAGTTTAAAACTCAGTAGGGTCATTAGGATCTGGAGCATAAATGGGTGAGAAGCAGGGGACATCCTGGACATGTCTCAGGGACACATGGAAACCACACACTCACACTTAGGGGCAATTTAGGGTCTCCACGTAATCTGACACGCATGCTTTGGGCCTGTGGGAGGAAACCTATGTTTGGGATTCAATCTTATAGCCTTCTCGCTTCCAGGCAGTAGTGCTACCAACTGTGCCACCATGCAGTCTGGTAAAGACCAAAGCCTGGTCAATCTTGGCAAATGTGAAGGTTGTTAAAAAGTTTGAGGAACAGAATGTAGAAATGTTAGTTGATTTATTTGCACCAAAAAAAGTTTTCTTACTTTAACCTGAGTGCTCTATAGAGCTATAGCCTTCTTCTACTTTGAAGAACGTTTTGACAAAAAAGAGAGATGGGATATAAAATGAGAAGATACATTTTTGAAAAGCATGAAGTTTGAACAACTAGGAGAGGATAGTTTGTGGGACCGCACAGACGAACTGTGATTTGAAAAGCTGCTTTAGATAAAAGCTGTTAAATAAAAATAAACTGTTTTAAATCAGCATGCAGATAAAGGCTGGAACTTCCAAAAAAGCTCCAATTTTGACTCGTTAATCCACCGAACATATCTCCAGAAGTCAATTTGAGATGGGTCATGTGTTCTTCTTGTCAAAAGAAGTCTTGAGTTTGAAATTCTGATGAGGATGCTGTTTTTGTTCATGTTTTCAACTGACCTGCAGTAGGATGCATGATATTTTATTATATTTATGCAATGAATTTCTTTCTTTCTTTTGTACAAATTTGGCTTGTCTCCTTGATGAATTCATCAACATTAAATACAAATGTGTTTTATACTTTAATGGTGACTGAACAAATCTCGCAACAGATTTTATTTTCTTTTGTTTTGTGACCCAGATGGTGAGTTTAAGAGCAGATCAAGAAAATGCATGAACACTGATAATACCCAGGGTCTAATCCTTCTTTTCTATTACTTTGGTTTATATAATTGTAGGAAAAGCATCTTGCTGCTTTGCCATCTAAGGTTTTATTGCAGCACATTCATGTGTGCATCTATAGCTTACGTAAACTTCATTCGTTATGCTCTTAGTTGTCCGGATATGTCAGTGTGGTTCTGTGGACAGTTTTCTCAAAAGACTATTTGAAATCTTTTCTATTATGCATTCCCTGTTTTCCTGCTACTTTTAGTCATCTCCTTTCTTTGAATCCCATTTTTTGCTCTCAAAAAGCCAAGCTTTTACCTCCTCTTAAATGTGAGCTATTTGATCCCAGAAACAACATCACTCTCATACAGCTGCAAAAAGCATTAGAGGTGCGGGGGGACAAAAGTGTTGATGCAGAGCTGTCACTTCCTTCGCTGTAATGAAGGACTGGAGCATCGCTTACACAAAGGCTGACAGACGTCAAAAAGTTACCCCTTATTCTGCAGAAACACTTGCTCAGAACCAGCCCACACTTTACACAGAGGCCCATTTGGCTGCTGGGAAGCAAAAACAGCACCAAACAGAACCCAAGTGGATCTGGTTACACAGTCTGAAGCTGGAAGTCATTAAAAAAATCCAGCTCCTCGCTCAATGCTGCACATGGTAAATCCATTTCTCAGATGACATTATCAACACAATTGATGTTGTAAAAGCCCACACATCCATCTTACTGCTGGGTTTTAGTTGGAAACAGAAGAAAATTCAAAGCAGATTTGATGTGATGAAGAAAAAAAATGTTTTGTTGAGACCTGCAGACCTTTCAAGACATTTTTTAATCCATGGTTTCTGGGAAATGGTTTTCATTTTTAAAAATAGATCCTCGGTGGAAAATCCAGGCACATTCAGATGGAGCAAACTGAGCGTTTCTCCCTGCTAGGGTTGAGTGTGATTGATTTTTCAGAGTTTCCAGAACTGCACAAGTATTTTAAAGACTTTAGGTTTTTAAAGTCTCATCATATAAATCCATTAGAGAGTAATCTGAGCTATTGGAGATCAGTTGAGCAGTATTGTTGTCTCAAAACAGTCATGAAAACTAAAAGAGTCCTGTGGCAGATTGTCTGACCACCTTCGAGCCCCAATCTCACTGTTATCGAACCTGCTGAGGATTACAGGGGAAAAAGAGGCAATTGAGAAAATCTCTGTCTTCAGAGGCATGGAACCAACTGCCAGAAACACCTTGAAAAGTTAAACAAATGGTGACCACGTTTTGGTTTTGGTTTATTTTGCTATTTTTTTCCCAGATAAACCAGAACTAGTCTAGATGTAAATATTCTTTTAAATGATTTCATTTCCTATGCAGTTGGACCCAGGAACTCATTCCATATTTTCCCTTCT